AACTCCAAATGTATATCTTGAAGCCCTGTTTTCCACTGGGAACGTAGAAGAATGAAAACAAAAAATCAGTATCACAAAAAACGACATTATTAACCGACAAGTAATCTTAAACCTGTGTGGTTTATGAGGCTAACAACTGGAGTCACTCTATAAGTATGCATCAATTAGCAATGATCAAAAGCGAGAAAGATTATTACTGTCAAGTTGTTGAATAGTATGAAAAGAATTTTTCACTAAGGCCAACTTAATGTAGTAGATATTGTAGTGAATAAATATGGATCATGTGACAATGCAATTAAATAAACCATTAGTCTAGAATCACTGTACTGCACTTTATGTGGCTATATATATATGGCTATGTAAGTAGGAACAGATGAACTGGCGTTTAAAACTTTAGTTCTTAAGATACTGAGCCATATGCATACCGCTTGCTAATAAAAACCTATACTTATTAACTGGAAAATTCTGAACACGATCTCTCAAATTTATTGACAACAAATATTCACAATAACAAAGGACTAAAACAGAATCTTGAGAGATTCGAAACTATCATAATATGCAAACAATTAATCGTATTTCTTTAACTATAACTTTGGGCGAACTATTTGAAAAGTATCATTGATATAAGAATAAAATTTGTGCACTGTGGTAGAGTGTAATTCCATTATGGGTAAATTTTGTTTTGATAAAGTCTCACAGTGTTATACAGTAATGTTTACTGATGACCATGTTTCGAGCACAATTTATTACTGCTCATAATCATATCAAGGTAATCACACGACTTCCTAAATTCATTTATATAGTTCCATTGTTTTTCACTTGATTTGATTGGTAGTAATATTTTCCATATTTCGGGTATGAGTGATGAATCATTCCTATTGCATGTGTTGGGTGTAGATTCGATGAACAAGGATTCAGTAATCAACTTCTCTCTCCACCTACCTAGATTACTTTTTAGAATTTTAACCCTCTCCCACCCTATTGTGTGGTTGTGTGCTAATGCATGCATTGCAATTGCTGAGCTTTTTTCTAAATTACTTATCTTCTCTGGGTCAACCATTCTTACCTTAGCTAAATTCTTATGTTCTGACAATCTGACTACCCCTGACCTACTAGTTTGACCTATGTAGTTGACCTCACAGTCATTGCATGGTATTTTGTAAATTATATTATTTGTCTAATTGGGTCAACTGGGTCCTTTAACCTACAGAGCTTGTCCCTGAGTGAGATTGTAGGTTTAATTGCCACCCTAGTTCCTGCTTTATTTAGAATCCTACGTAGTGTCTCAGATGTCCCCTCTTTATATGGTATAACTGTAGATGACTTATATTCTCTCTTATTTATGTTGTTATTACTAGTTTCACAATTCCTTTTATTTTTCTTTTGGCCTTTCTCAATCTTCCTAATGAATTTTAAAGGATAGTTATTTGACACCAACGCCTCTTCCATCTGTTTTATCTCATCATTTAGGTCTTTTTTTGTGCTACTTAGTGCTATTGCTCGGTTTGTTAAACACTTAACTAAGCCTGCCTTAACAGTTAAAGGATGAGATGAATTAAAGTCTAAATATCTATTAGAATGCGTTGGTTTTCTATAAACACTAGTGTGTAGTTTGCCTTCTTCTATTCGTTTTATTTTACAATCTAACATAGCTAATTCTCCTTGCTCATTTTCGGCTTCAAATGTGAATTTTATTCCCTCCACTAGTGAGTTTATGTGTGTCAAGAAGCTAGAGATATGTTCTGTTTTTAACACTGTGAAAGTGTCATCCACATACCTCCACCATATTTTTGGAGTAGGATTAGACGTATTAAGTGCCATATTTTCCCAGCTATCCATAAATATATCTGCTACGATAGGGGATATTGGTGATCTCATTGCTACACCTTCAGTTTGTCTATATATTTTACCTTGGAATTTAAATATAGTAGATGTGAGGCATAGCTGAATCCCTAAAATAATTTCTTCAATGGACAGCTTTGTCCTATGATTGAGTTCAGGATCCGCAGTTAGTTCTTTTTTAACTGCTTCTAAGGCCATATTGACTGGTATATTAGTATAAAGACTGGTTATATCAAAACTAACCATTGTTACATCATTATCTAGTTGTATGTCATTTAGTTTATTTTTCATCTCATATGAATTAGATAGTCTAGAATTTGAACGATTTCTAATGGGGCATAATATTAGAGCTAAATGTTTTGATAATTCATATGTAGGGGTATTTCTAAAATCTACTATTGGTCTTATGGGATAACCTGGCTTATGTATTTTAATAGTACCATACATCCTACTAGCATTATTAGTTTTAGGCATTGAATTAAACCATTCTGACTCTCCCAGTGACGGCTTCATTCTGCGTACTAATTCCGCTGTGGATTTTTTAACCTTATTCATTATTGTATCTACGGGCTTCTTAATTTCCTCATATGGACCCATTTCAATATGTTCAGTGACTTTCGTGATGTAGTCAGATTTATTTATTGAAAACTACGGTGGCGTTTCCTTTCTCAGCTTTTGCCATGACAATATTTTTATCCTGTTTTAGATTAATTAAAGCTTCTCTTTCCGATTTTGTCAAGTTTGTTTTTGCCTTCTTTTGATTTTTTAGGGTTAATGCACATTGTGCTCGAACCTCTTCTGCTGTTGTCTTATCTATTGAACCTAGTGCTACTTCTATGTTAGGAATGACATCCTCTGGTTTTAATTTATTAACTGTTACGTTGAAATTTAGTCCTTTCTCCGGTACTTTTATCTCACTGGAGCTTAGTTCCCTTGATGAGAGGTTGATCACACACTTTGATTTGTCGATAGAGGATGAAGCATTGACATCAATTTCATTTGCTGTGTTCTTTTCCTCAATAAGTTTGTTAAATTTTTTGATTTGTGTGGTTTTTGATTTTCTTAATGCAGCTTCTCTAGCTTTTCTGGATGTTTCAAGAATAAATATATAATCTTTGTCATTGATCATATATTTGAGTTTGTGTTTGAGTTTTTCAATTTCATTTCGTATATTATTTAGTTTCACAGTAACTCGATGTAATTCTTCTCTTAGATATAATCTACTGACATTTGCGGCAGCTGATGTTATTTTACTTGAAGTAATTGGAGTACGTAGACGTAAATATTTCGGAATTATATGATTTTTCATACATCGACTGTTAAAAATCCGATGATTTGTGAATATTGCTTCAGTTTGACAAATTGTGTGACAAAATGGTTTAATTCAATGCCTAAAACTAATAATGCTAGTAGGATGTATGGTACTATTAAAATACATAAGCCAGGTTATCCCATAAGACCAATAGTAGATTTTAGAAATACCCCTACATATGAATTATCAAAACATTTAGCTCTAATATTATGCCCCATTAGAAATCGTTCAAATTCTAGACTATCTAATTCATATGAGATGAAAAATAAACTAAATGACATACAACTAGATAATGATGTAACAATGGTTAGTTTTGATATAACCAGTCTTTAGACTAATATACCAGTCAATATGGCCTTAGAAGCAGTTAAAAAAGAACTAACTGCGGATCCTGAACTCAATCATAGGACAAAGCTGTCCATTGAAGAAATTATTTTAGGGATTCAGCTATGCCTCACATCTACTATATTTAAATTCCAAGGTAAAATATATAGACAAACTGAAGGTGTAGCAATGAGATCACCAATATCCCCTATCGTAGCAGATATATTTATGGATAGCTGGGAAAATATGGCACTTAATACGTCTAATCCTACTCCAAAAATATGGTGGAGGTATGTGGATGACACTTTCACAGTGTTAAAAACAGAACATATCTCTAGCTTCTTGACACACATAAACTCACTAGTGGAGGGAATAAAATTCACATTTGAAGCCGAAAATGAGCAAGGAGAATTAGCTATGTTAGATTGTAAAATAAAACGAATAGAAGAAGGCAAACTACACACTAGTGTTTATAGAAAACCAACGCATTCTAATAGATATTTAGACTTTAATTCATCTCATCCTTTAACTGTTAAGGCAGGCTTAGTTAAGTGTTTAACAAACCGAGCAATAGCACTAAGTAGCACAAAAAAAGACCTAAATGATGAGATAAAACAGATGGAAGAGGCGTTGGTGTCAAATAACTATCCTTTAAAATTCATTAGGAAGATTGAGAAAGGCCAAAAGAAAAATAAAAGGAATTGTGAAACTAGTAATAACAACATAAATAAGAGAGAATATAAGTCATCTACAGTTATACCATATAAAGAGGGGACATCTGAGACACTACGTAGGATTCTAAATAAAGCAGGAACTAGGGTGGCAATTAAACCTACAATCTCACTCAGGGACAAGCTCTGTAGGTTAAAGGACCCAGTTGACCCAATTAGACAAAATAATATAATTTACAAAATACCATGCAATGACTGTGAGGTCAACTACATAGGTCAAACTAGTAGGTCAGGGGTAGTCAGATTGTCAGAACATAAGAATTTAGCTAAGGTAAGAATGGTTGACCCAGAGAAGATAAGTAATTTAGAAAAAAGCTCAGCAATTGCAATGCATGCATTAGCACACAACCACACAATAGGGTGGGAGAGGGTTAAAATTCTAAAAAGTAATCTAGGTAGGTGGAGAGAGAAGTTGATTACTGAATCCTTGTTCATCGAATCTACACCCAACACATGCAATAGGAATGATTCATCACTCATACCCGAAATATGGAAAATATTACTACCAATCAAATCAAGTGAAAAACAATGGAACTATATAAATGAATTTAGGAAGTCGTGTGATTACCTTGATATGATTATGAGCAGTAATAAATTGTGCTCGAAACATGGTCATCAGTAAACATTACTGTATAACACTGTGAGACTTTATCAAAACAAAATTTACCCATAATGGAATTACACTCTACCACAGTGCACAAGTTTTATTCCTATATGAACCACCTTTTTGTCTATGCTGTTTTGTCATCTGCTTTTATTTTTTTCTCTTAAATTTTATCTGATTTATGTTTTCATCCACTAGAGCCTGAAGTCTTGTCGTCCGCTTGTGATGGTCCTCGACATGTAGATGATTTAGACGAAGTTTTCAATTTTTTGGAGTCATCAAGATGGCATATAACTGACCCGTCACTGGAATTATACCTTAAAATAAGACCATAAAACAGTTCAATTGAATCATTTTTTGTTAGCTGCTGTTTTTCATACATGAAGTACATTTCTTAGTTCTAAAGAGAAAAATGATGTAAATATATGTATACACTGCATTGGATTTTTGTATGTAATTTTTTTAGAGTGTTTAATAAAATTTGGTTTACAGAAATGCAATAACTTCTGCATTATTTTTACTTCATTTGTATTCACTTTCGTCAAACCTATTTGTAATGCAATAACTTTTGAACTAAAGTATTGTCGTTAAAAGCAAATATAGGTTGAACAGCAGTAACATTAACCGTGACGTTTGCCCTCAATTCTTCACTTGATGCATGTACATGAAGCGATGTAAAAGATGTGTGGTTCAAGATTAAGGCGGAAATTTAACGGATTTTTCATACAATTCCTTACCACTATGAATTTACATCAGCTTAAGAGCACGGTAACAGTAATGGACAACACTTCAGCTCATGTGAAAAGTGCGACGTTATCTTATACAGTTCGTTCCCTTTGTTAAATTGGTTATATCATAACGAACTACAAGTGAAGCTGCACATTATTATCTTTTATTTCGTAGACTCTCTTTTTAAACTGGAGATCCTCCATCATCTACTCAACAAACACTTGCATTTCTAGTCAGTTGACAATGCTTCACACCTATTGCGTTAAGGATAGTTATATAGCCTGGTTGCTCAAGCCATGACTCGAAACGGTGGCTCAGACGTCGGAACCCGAAATTCTGACCAGATTAGTCACATCCAGGTAGTCTGGAAAGGCATGGTGCAAAGACAATATGACAACAGATTTTTATCAAGCAGATTTGCGCAACAGTGAAGAAGATACGTATGCATCAGAAAACTTTATTTGATTATTCATCCACTGCGTTTATCATCGAACACAGATAATCTACACCACGTCTCATTCTAGTCTGCCATTTCATATTTCACTACGTCCACCATTTTACATAACACAAATTCCCCCACACAATGTCATATATATCACCCGGAGATAAGCCAATGCTTCCATCACATTCCACTTAAATTCAAACATATCAATCATAATCTGTGTAAAAATATTTGATTCTCTACGCTGGCTTTAATTATGAAATCACTAGAGACGCATAAGTGTGCAAATTGTTCCCCGTTGTCATTCATTTCACTGGCAGCCTCCCTCTTGCTACATGACAACTTCTCTTTCTGTATTGTCTGATCCTACTTTCACTGATGTTTGATTAAGCTACTCTTCTGTCTCGATATTTTCTGTGTGTTCAACCCAAATTTCATTAGGGTTGTTGAATAATTTGACAATTTTTCCGTGAGCAGGTTGTTGAGATAGAAATATGTGCTTATTTAGCCTTACTGATTGATTCGCTCCTAATTCAAACCCTTCTAACTGTGAGACTGTTAATTTTAGGTTCTTTTCCAAGTTTGTTGTAATTTCGGCGTTACTGTTGTGGCGAATAAATCGAATAATACCTATCTTGTTATCATTTTCTGTTCCAACTTTCGTTAGCCGCCTCATATCTTGTTGATGCCTAAGAAAATCTTTCATTCCACTTATTGCATAAGGAAGGTGACACTTTCTGACATAACTCAACCTCTTCACTCACGTTTGAATATATCGTGCATTTTACCCACTCCTATTTATAATCCCCCCTCCGCCTTGTTCTTCACTGCGCTTCTCGGAAAGGACTATCTATGTTATATTGCGTAGGATTTAGAAGTCCCTCACCAAGGTTAGTGGTGTACCTTTGCCCCAACAAACTGACTAATTGTTATTGATAGACATTTTAATTCTTGCAAGCAGATGGCTTAAGTCACATCCTGTCGGATACCCGATATCCTGTTTATTCTGCTGAACGTTGTTCTTTCTTTTTTCGCATGTCCTTTGGTAGAAGCAGAAATTTCACAAGAATTTATGCTCAAACGGCTAATAATTATTATAATTAGCACAGTTGTTGTGTGAAAACACAAATGTCAGAAAGGTGCTTATAAACTCAACTTGCAATGTTTAAATAAGCAGTGGTTTATTAACACTACTAATACCATGTATATTTTTCTTTTACATGAAGAAATGAAATATTACTAACGTTATGAGTAAAATTTATGAGCCATACTTCCTATTACTTAACCTTATTTCACGCAATTCGTAGATTCTCATCACTGAGACTTCGGTCACGTATATATATACACATACTTTCATATCATCACACTGTCTACAACACTTTGTATTCTCTGTTGGCCAGTACTTATCTCATGTTACGATCAGGTAATTAAATATAGGCGGTCATTTATCTCTGAGTAGCTGACGCCACTGAGCGAAAACAACCATTGCAAAATCAATCAAGAGTCGATAGCTTTTTCGTCCCAGTTCTACAGTTTTCCAATTTGATCCCACACGCAAACCAAATGCTAAACAATCACGTCCTACGCTTATGTGTGTGTGCTCCTACCACCAATTATTCTGACAAATTATTTGATTCACTGTCAACAGTTGGTTCCTGCTTACGTCTTCTCTCAGTTACAAACAGTAAGCATTCATACATACGCCAATCGAACAATCTGAAAAATTTATATGTCCCTTGAGCTTCTCCTTTAAGTTGAAATCAAAAATAACAGCTAAACATTCCACAATTACAACATTAGAATCTCTGTCGACAATCAAATGTTTTGCAAGTGAATGGCAAAATACGACTGCACAAAGACGTGTTGACCTGTCGTACTTCATCTTTCTCAACCTCAATTTAGATCACGTGGCCTATCTTTGTATCCGTTTATATATAAGGTTGAAACGAGAGACGAGGATCGATTCAGCTTCTTATGAAGCCATTCACTCACATTTCCAGATGCTGGTTTCGTCAACTGAACCATTGATCAATCCATAGATTGAACCAACGACTTCACGTTAGTACGTGACTCCATGAAAGATTTATTACCGATTACTCAAAATCTCTCAATTCCTTTTTTATCTTGACGCGCACATCACTACTTCTATGTAAGTCAGTAGGACATAAATCCGTGTATTGAGTCTTTAGTTCTCCTTAATGTGAACAGAGTCAATAAGGATCAATTTCAAATCATGAATAAGTTGCAACTGCTGAAGTACCTAATTTCAATAAACTCTCTGGTTGACTTCTATTTGCCAGCAACTTATATATTGCTATGCAACACAGTTCCTCATTTCACCATGTTGTTTTACCTGGGAGCTGAACGAAGACATCAGCGCTGCATCTGCAGTATTCGCCCTCGATTCACTACATCATGACTCTAACAGAATACAAATCTAGTTTCTATTGTGTCACAAAATGTACAATAAACACATAATGGGAGTAGCATAGAGAATAGTCAGAAGAATACTGTTGTAATTATTGTCAAGTAAGTTTACCATTCGAACAATGACAATAATAATAATTTCTAAGGAAAGAAAAGCATTACTGGTGATCGGGCCAGTAACAAACATTATCACATAGTCTGTGGGATGGAAATAATTTTCTTCGTTTTTAAGAGAAAGAAGTACCAATAAATATTCCCCTATGAAGGTTTATATTCTGAAAAGTACATTTTTGCAATGAAGAACACTTCTTGAAGGCTTCACTATCACCAGATGCCTCACTTTTTCTGCAGAGCATCAAGTTGCGCCTTAACTTCAGTGACTTGTGTCGACAAACGAGAATTCTCGTCCTTGAGAAAACGTAATTCTCTTCTCAGGTTGAGTTGTTTATGACCAAGTTCTGTTATCCTCTGCTGAACGAGATCAGTGTCTTCGAGGGATTTTTCTTGATCAAGTTCTAAACTCCTACAATAATGCCTACAAAAGAAATTGTGGAACCATGTAAGTGGCAGATAGACAGAGAGGTTGACAGCATGTCATTAACAAAAGTAAGGTGGTGTTTACAATTAGGAAAACGCAAAAAAAAACAAAAAAAGATTATTTAGACTAACTATTCCACTGCCCTATGGAGAAGAAAATGATATGAGATTGGATTAATTTTGTGTACAATACTGACTAACAGAGTTCTAGCATAGAACTTTGCACACAAGTACAGTAGTTCCAGTTGCACATCAAGGTAAACAATAAAGAGAAAAAATAATTACAAAAGAATCATAATAAGCAGAAATATGCAAGAGGAAAAATATTGACATAGGAGAACATGACGGTGTAGTACATCCCAAAGTGTGAATGCTTCTGCGCCATTGACAACGATTTCAAGCCATATCATCAATAGTTTCCAGCCATTTGTTCTTATCACCTCGAGGACACCAACCAGACAGCCTATACATTCCTATATGTCTAAAACCAAGTGTGGATATGATTATGAGCAGTAATAAATTGTGCTCGAAACGTGGTCATCAGTAAATAATATTACTGTATAACACTGTGAATAGATTTTACCCATAATGGAATTATACTCAACCACAGTGCCCAAATTTTATCCTTATATCGATGAAACGTGGCAGTATTAGATGGTTGGAGGCAATCGGCCGCAGGAAGCCTTGCTTGACCTAGGTTTCGTGCTAGTTGGCACTCGTCAGTGGGGCGTATCGGCGACCTTGAAGGAACTCATGTCCCTTCTGAGATTCGAACTCGCGTCACTCAGTGCTGCAGTCATAGACGTTACCACTGAACTATTCGGGCTTGCGATTGACCTCCTGTAGGAGGTCACCGTGATGACGAGCTACCTAGAATGGTGGCCACATTGCAAACGTGACTGATAGAATTCAGTCTGCACCAAAGAAAGGACTAGACGCATCACACTAGTTACTAGTGCCCAATCAAAACATGGCAGTGTTGGACACTGGTAAGCATGTCTATGTTCCACAATTTGTTGAAGAGCAAAGGTACCATCAAAACACTCTCTCTCTTCCTGGTCTAAGGCCTACCTGGTTTTCTCGCACCGCTTAACCTCCGCATCGGCGTTATTGAGTCTACAACTTTACATATTATTATACCAGTCAAGCTTATACAGGAAAGGCACACTTAGTTATCACACAATTTTTCTTTATAATAAGCAGAAACAGATGGGACAAAAACTGTTTTGCAGAAGAGAGTGTAGATCCCTGTCAAAAAGCATAATTTCTATGGCTGACATACAACTAAATCTTTTGATCAAAAAGAAAGATTGGGAAACTTCTACTATAATACTATATAAAGTAAAGTGGAAAAGAGTGGAACTATATTTTCAACAGCACCAACAACGAGTTTTTTTATTTATTTATTTATTTATTAAAATGACTCTTGATGATTATCCTGATTTCTTTGATAGATTTCATTAAATATGCTTTACTTGTCAATGAAGGCATTACTCATATTAACTTAACCAATCAATTTAAGTTAGATAATTCACTGTTTCTATACATTAATTGAGAACTCAATTTGTGATGAATACACCTTAGTATACCCGATTGTAAATAAAAGTGATAATTCAGAAGATTGATTTTTAATCCCTGTAAATAGTATTAAGCTATAAATAATAATTACGAAGTGGTGAGTTGCCACGTAGAGGCGGCGGCACATGTATACTATATACACAGATCTGATATTTCTAATAAGTGAAAGAGCCTGATTAATTAATTGACCAAGGTCACAGTGCCATCATATATGTGGACAAAACATTACCAATCATCCATGAATGCAAATTATCGATTGTTGACACCAGTTCATGTATTCGCTCGTCTCCTAGCCGCCTAAATTGACTATGCATCATCATAAGCATTATTCATCGACATACTCAGACGCTAACTATTTTTTTATACAACTTAGTACCACTGAAGGAAGACAAGCGTGTTCGAATCTCGAAAAAACTTCCTGGTTTTCTGCTGACCAAAATACTGCCTCAATTAGCTTACATTATTATAATTACTTATTTTGCATATTAGTTTAATTTGTGATTTATCAGTCCAATAGTCACATGATACTTAACTTTTTGAAGAAAACCCTTTAGTTATTTTATCAATAAGTATTTAAAGAATTGAAAACAGTGGATAAATTAAAAACAACAGTTTGAATTAAGTAAAAATATCTAAATTTTATCTTACATAATAGCAGCCTCGGCCTTTTCAGCATCCCTTGGCGATTCAGGAGATTCCAGCGATTTCTCGCATTTCCTCTTCGCCTACAATGAACAAAAATATTTAACACATTATAAGTGACTGCAATAACTAAAAAGTTACTTGGTCATGAAAAATACTTATTCCCATAAGATACACTTATTAAATGCTATCTGGAGGTGACGAAGACAACAGACTGTGTGTAGTCACGAATTCGATTAACACTCATAAAAAGAATAAAACAGAGTAAGTTGAGTACATAAATAACTATGGGTAACCTGTACAAAATCTATTCTAAAAATATTCATTTTCACTATGCACTGATAGTAGTGCTTGATGAATTGTGTGCACGTTGAACTGCTGCAGCTGGAGGAAGAATTCCACGTTGAAAATTTACTTCTGTTCATGCACTGACGGAAAAAGAGAATAAGAATACTAATCGAGAGAGGGGGCGCGGCGGGGTGGGGGGCTCTGCTGAAGTAAATCTTGAGGAGAAAAACTAACAATATGTTAACAGAATGTTTATAACCTAGGCTGTGTATGTGTATTAGAATAATTCACCGGAAACATTATTTAAAAAAAAGGTGTTTTTAAATTGCTTTTACAGAATCATCTGAAACTTATACATGGCTTTATGGAACTAACAGTTGTCACCTACCTATCTGAAAATGAAGTTAAGCTAGTATAGTAAATTGGTCTGAGCCAAAAAATTCTCATAACAGTCAAATAAAGACAGTCCAACTGTACTACTACTACTAGAACGAATTTTTAGTCTGAAAATTCCACAGTACGTTTTTTGTATTTCCTATCGATTATATAAACAACTGAATACTTAATAAATAAATAGAAATTAAACTGAACAAACCTTTAATTCTTCATAATCTTTCATTTTTCGATGAAGTTTTTCATTTTCCCAACGTATATCTTCAATTTCAGCACGTAAAATATCCATTATCTCCGTGTATGGACACGAATCCACCCGTATTGCAGCCTTATTTTTACGTAGGCACCATATGAAAAATGAAAACGTCCAAGTCATGAAAAAAAGCGTGAGAAATGAGCATTGTAATATTCACTTTGGAAAACCACGATGACATTCATTCATTCATTCAAAAACTAGACATATAGTGCAATTAGCATTTAGAACTCCAGTAGGATCAGAGCCGTTTGTTCAATATATACTGAAATTGTTACTACTTGCTTAAAAACAATGTCAAATATATCTAGATTAAAGAAGATATCCATCTAAGTGCTTTCCCAATGTGATGAAAATAGGTTGGTCGGATACACCGAATATAAATGAAATCAACACTTCATTCAACTGTATCCATATTTTTGCATCCCCACGTCTATAAAACCTAATAGTTGAATGTCATTAGTGCTTGGTAGGAGACAAAGAGGTTTACTATCTCTCATTATTTACATGACCTTCATATCAGACTTTTAACCTCAAAGACAGGTGTAAAGGACCAGGTTAGTGGACTTTTATCGACACATACTAGCCAGCCAAAACATAGTTTTCCATATAATAAACTAATAGTTTATTGGCTATGTAAAATAAACAACACAGCTGCAATTTCCAGTGATATTGCTTTTTTTGAATAAAGAAATAAACCATTACCTTTTCAGTCTTCTCGGTGTGGTAATAGTTCAAGTGGTCAGTCATATATTATCGTTGCATTGAAGAAATAGTAAGAACAAATCTACAAGTCCAGTATTATTATTGCTACATAGATCCGGAAATTTGCAACAACCACAATAGTCTTATCACGATAAGCAAACGAGTATGCCTATGTATGACGGTGTACTGCGAGTGATTTCACCTTGGAACACTTACTTTGATGTTGTCGAGAAACAAAATAGCCCGATGACAGGAAGGTACACAATATTGCTAATTATATTAGAGGGCGAACATTTTAAGCTCATTTATAACTTACAAGTAAAGATGCAAGCTTTGCAGGCATATTATTCAAGCGTCGTCTTAATTCTTTGATTTTCTCATTCTGTTTAACGACCATTTGTTCGACAAGTATGCGTTCTTTATCAACCTGAAATTTATTTAAACACAGGTTGATTCTCTGTAAATATTATTATATTTGAATGTTATACTGAGATTCAGTCAGGCATACTTCCTTCGATCCGCAACAATTTGTGTCGAGAAAATAGCACACATTTTAAATAACGACACAAAATATCGCTCTAAATATCCCTATAATATAATCAGAACAAGATGACTTTTGCGTGAACAACTATTTTCAACAACTTCAGGCTATACAGTAATATATCCATGAATACTAGAATACAAATAGCCAGTAAATGCACTAATAATAATAATAATAGCTTCATTCCAAACAGTATTTGTGGTACAGGTATGGAATTTTCAGCGTGCATTACAATATTGCATCTAATTACCTCATAAATTTTTATAAGATTTTAAAAATAGAAAACAACAACAACAAAAGGAAAAAAAGATAAATAAAAGAAATAAAAAAGAAAAGCATTGCATTCACATATTTAAACAATGCACCACAGGATATGAAATATAAAATTAGTGTGTAATAGAATATGTGAGCAACAATATAATAGTTACAAAGAAAGGAGAACAAAAGCTAATGGGAACTATTTGTTAGAGTGCCGCAGTAAGTTGATTGTGTCATACCTAACGGATTTCTCATCACATAACAACTGTGCCAGATAAGGTATTGTGGAGTTTTGTACTTGGTAGTCCTGGCATAAAGCCAAAATCCCAACCAATAATAATAATCATTTTATTCTAAGTATTAATAATTATGCATCATCACATTCTACCTTACTAGTTGACTCGCTGTTCATATTTAGTACCTCAAGTTAATATCTGACACATTCCGTAATGAAACATTTATATGCACATATCTTAAGTGTTATCGTAACATTTTACGAAGGCAAACAAACAGGATACGTATTTGAGTACAGAAAACAGTTTGGGTATTATTGAATGTATACCACATGGTGAAGATCAACAATGGTGGTTTCTCAGTGATAACAACTAATCTTCTCCAGGTAGAAACAATCTCCTGAACTGTAAAATCACAGATGAATCAGCCAAAGTCCTCATATCGTCACAAAACCAACAAATCGAATACTCTTCATTTAGTTAAATACGATGCATTGACTCCAAATACTAATGGAACACAATTTAACTGATACACACCGCTACATACTGGGACCAGTAGTGAATTATTTATAACTAAGTGCTGCTGATGATAACAACAAAAGTACTAGTAATAACAGTAAGAAAAAAAGTAGTGCAAACTGTCTAAATACGCTTCTCTCTGTTGAATACAAGAAATATATAAATGTAATATCTTCAGAAATACATTTAACCAAACATTGCATTCGTTATAAACTAACTTCAGAAAATAGAGACATCGTGGGATTCGGTTGAATTTGGAAGGTTTCACACTGAGCTTGAGCGTCTTCTAATTCCGATTGACATTCCTTAATCGAATAGAAATATAAGGTTTAGAAAAAACTGTCTCATTATTCGAAATTCGAATCACGTATAATTGAAAGTGTGAAAACGAAATATTTCATAATTTGGATCAAATACAATGGGCAGGGGAATGGAATTCCCCTTACACTAAGACGAATGTAACTATACAATAACCAACAACTTAGAGATCCTTCAAACAGTAAGCAAAAGATCCCTACTGAGTTAACATCCTAAGAACGCATTATTCAAGTAAGTATAAAACTTGGGCACTGTGGTAGAGTATAACTCCATTATGGATAAGGTTTTATTTCGATAAATCACACAGTGTTAAACAGTAATATTAAGTGATGACGTTCCCAAGAATGTAAATGGTGTGTGCTCAAAGATGCGTTTCTATGCAAATTCAACTTTGAGTCGATCCAATAATCTAGATTCTCTATACTTGGTTTGTAAGGATTAGTTTTGCTTTTACGAGTTGATTACGAATTGATAGAAGTTAGAAATCATGAGCCATTGAATCGCGTCCCAGTGGCTGAGTGGTATACGAGCTTGCCTTGTAACCGGAAGATCCTGGACTCGAACCCCAATGGGTGCGTACTGCCGATGATTCCCAAACTAGAGTGAAACAGCTGTCCAGTACTCCCTGTGGCTGGTTTTCAATGGTTCTCTAACTCATATCAATCCGTGATCAACTCGTAAATCTAGATTCTACCTATTTTTTATATCTACATAGATGGAAAGGTGAGCATATTTTTGTTTACTGTTAAAAAAGTGTATTCACATGATACGGACCTTAGAAGTAAAGACACTGACACAACGCACTCCTCTGGATACCTCGAGCAGAAATCACAGCATGTTTGACATGGGATTCGTCCCTGTCAAATGTAAGGTGATGCTACACTACTCCTCTGTACTCCTTCTCCTACTTTAAGGACAGAGTGAAACGGCTTAGAGCTGACTTCACTTCATAGGAGGCTTTAAATGTATACATATATATATTTACGCGATACGCACACTACACACTTTAAAATTACTCACTCGTACCTTTAACTTCTGCTCTAATTCATCTTTATAACTCTGTACACAACAAAAGTCCTCTTCTAATTCTTCGATACATCGACACAATCGCGATGTATTCATTTGTGCAGCTATTTTCATTTCGGACAGTTCATTTTCTAATAGTTTAACTTCATTTAAAGCTCCAGTGTTAGAATCCTGAAAAAGAATGCAAGCATTTACAAGAGTTGAATTTTACACAACCTAATACAGCGATAATCGTGATAAACTAACCCATAATGAAACAGTATTGTTTGCTAATTAGATGTCAAACACTACTCCTACATATTTAATAACGAAGACAAACTGCATAGTAACCCTTTACACATAAGAAAGAAATATACCAGCAATCCTTCACAAAACTGGGAAGAATGAACATCTACAATCCGGAACCTATTTTTTAGTGACCAAATTATCGAAAACTATCACCAACAAAACGATCAGACGGTAAAAGTAGTTAGACAATGAGAGGAAACGATTGGCAAGCCTATATGGTTTGAAATTATGCCAAAATCGCGTATTACACATTGGATAGACTGTGTGACAATACTACATAGAGAGACCTATCCCATCAGAGCGATTTTGGATTTCACAAACACACCAATGCATATCTCGTCAAGATTCCTGGTCGCTATACAGAAACCAAGACAACTCAACTCATTTGGATTAGTTAAACCCATTAAAGGTAATAAAACCGATAAAATACTACACAGTCTGAATACAAAAGCACCCATAAAACGGCTACAGTTCCACTGAAAAGAAGACTAAATAAAGGTGATGATCTAAAAGGCAGAACAAACTTATTGGTAGGAGATACTGCAATACAAGGATCCATAAGAAACAACAACAAAGAGAGAGAAGTGATACGATGACAACTATAAGAAGACTGCCAACGAACCGGACTTCAATGTGATAACTCTGTTCACAAATACTGACATTGCTCTAAATAGTTCCCAAAGGTAGACAGCTTTCTACTCTATGTGATCATCTACGTTCCAGGAATACTCATTATATTCCACTTAATAACCTTTCCCCAAACTTTATATGCTTTTACGAAGTGTGACAACTTGAATCAGTACAATTTTATGCAAAGTTCTACGCTTATAATTCTCTGAATTGACTACTGTAACACTTCACAGACTCAGCATACAACATGAGAAGATGAGTGATGAGACGCAGCTCAGATACACCTTTGTGGAATGCCCTACATCGGTTTACCTAACTGTCACGTTGAAGTTACAGCATACACTGAAGCAGCAAATCCTAAACTGTAAAAACGCTCTCCTGCTTCTCAGTTCAAGTGAATCGAAATAAATGCCCCATCAGTTTGAAAGAAAACTGTCACCAACTATCTACACTTTTGTTCTGAATGGAGGAAGTCTCTCTTTAGATCTCATTCAAATGTTCAAAAATAAGCACAACAAATAAACTAACCATACAAATTTCGTCCACTTTATTTTCACGAGCACGTAATCGTTTTAACAGGTCAGCCTCCAAATTTTCGGCAGCGCTAAGCTTCTCAGCCAGACGGTTTTTCTTGCTTAATTTCTCTGACTGGCGATCATCAATATTCCGGAATTCTCCTGGACTTTTACGTTTCAAACAAGCAATAAGTTCATTAAGACTTTCTATTTCATCAATATACGCACTCTCCATTTTTTCTAACAAGTCCAATTTGGATAATAACTTGTGATTCTCTTCTTTCAAGTCCTGTGTAATGGTGAAAACGGATTTAATTCACATATATGTTGCGCAAATAAGGGAATTGTATAATAACAAGAAAACAACAAATACCATTCCAACAATCCCTTCAAAAAGGTTCATTTCAACTGTCTTTTGTGATGCGAAAAACTATACACGAGTGGACAAGCATGAAATAAGTAGAAGTACATTGATAAGTCATACACTGCAACCGGCTAAACTGCAATCATAACTCCAGCCGGCCAGAATAAACATATATATCTTCGGTTACAGGCGTAGTAAACACTCCTGGTGGCATCAAAAAGGTGATAACGGTTTAGAAATTCTTACCTCATAAGCTATAACTCAGCACGATGACTTTAGGTAAGAAAGAGTGTCCTACTACACTGACAATATATGATTCACAACGCGACAACCACGTGATTCTCTTGAGATATCCGGAAATCTCTACGTATCGTACTACCGGTTTGAAGTAACCTATCTAAACTTCATGCCAGCTCGTTAAGACCGTTATACTCAGGCGGTTTTGAGATGTTATCAATGATTCAATACTTGCACACTTTAAGCTTTCTTTCTTAAACTATTTTGAACCAACTAATCTAAATTAGTCCACAACCACATGAAGGCTCGAGGATTACATCATATGGAATTTCTGAGTAAACTAGAAACTCTCCAGTTACAGCAAAAGATTTCCACCTCGTCTGTCGATTATTTGCACTTGTGCTACTGTCGTTTAAGAGAAAAGTTGTAAAATATAAGTGAACGCTAATCTTCTGAAGACTTGATAACTGGTGGATATACAAAACATAGTCGCCACTGGAATGACAATATTAACGGATAGCGATCAACTGGTAATGTAAACATTGTCTGTTTGATAAAACAGTCTGCCTATATTCATGGTACAAAACAGTCTCAATGTTGACGGTGTACTGTCAGGGTCGAAAGCAGTACTGAGTGGAGTACCTTAGGGAATTGTACTTGGCCCCCTGCTATTCTTATTATACGCAGATGAACTGCCGAAAATTCTTACCTCATCTTCCTTATTATTTTCGGACGATATTAAGATATGTAAAGCCGTAAACAGTAACGATGAAAGGTTGGTACTACAAAACAATCTAGATAAGTTAGCTGAATGGGCTAACCTTTGGAGTCTGGAAATCAATTCCAAGAAAAGCGCGATAATGCAACTAGGTCAGAGGTCTTACGCGTCGTACTCCTTGTGGGAAAGAACTGCCAGATGTTAAGGAACAAAACGACTCAGGAATTATTGTAAGCCACGACATAAAGACAACGGCAAACCGTAATGGAGCCGCTGCTAAGGCTTTTCGAATGCTATGAGCACTCAGAAGGGCTTTAAAACCACTGGACGAGTGTATGTCCCAAGTACTTTATGCAACACATGTCAGACCTCATTTAGAATACTGCATACAAGCGGTGAGTCCATGCTTCAGGAAGCAGGCACACATCCTGGAAAGAGTACGGAGGATAAGAACCAAATCAATTAGTGGTATCTCACACCTTCCTTATGATAAGACGATGGAGCATTGAAATCTCTTCCCATTATCATACCGAAGGAAGAAAGGCGACTTAATTTTGGCATACCGTATACTAAAGGGTGATTCAGGGATTGACGTTTCAAATATCTTCTCTCCCTACAGGATTTTATCTTATGCATTTTTTATTCTTTATTATAGCTTGATTCCACACAGTATTTTTGGTACAAGTATGGAATTTTCAGCATGTGATATCGGTAGCCCAAATTTCGCAGGCCGACCATTGATATCGGGTGAGTGTCGACCGATGATCGAACCCTGAACCATGTGCATGGTCGGCGAGCGTCCTAACCGTTGTGCCACCGACACACTGGAACTCCTAACTTGACTCAGTAGTAACAGCTCTATCGGTCAACGCTTTGGAAGAGAAATTAGATCTCTGCAGAGATGTATATTGCAAGGATTAACATAGGTAACGAGAGCCCTCCATCCGTATAATCTGATTCTGACCTCACTTGAATACACAAACTAACGAGAGGAGGAGTCATAGAACACCAGGTCAATAGCATCAGTGTATAAACGACGTATCTGAATACTTATCCCCCAGATTTCCACCAAAATAGCTACACTGGATAAACAATATAATGCATTTACTGTATAAGTGCTCAATTACAATTCCGGTTTATCCCTGCGCATCTTCTGAAACTTTTTGAGAAAGTCAGTATCCCCGGTAACGTCATTATTCATCAGTTTAACTAAAATTCCATCAGAATAGAGTCAAATCAAAATAACGCTAATAAGTTAATTGGCATCCGAATGGCCTATCCACTTAAAATCGCATACACCATTCAGGGGTAGACAACTAAATTCGTCGTTTGACTTGTTTACATTCTCTCTCGCCTTACTCTCCTGACAACTTTAACTGCACCTATTATTATTATTATTATCATTATTACCGATATATATATGTATATAAATATATATATATATTATTCATATATTTCTTCAAATTTAATCAGCTGACTGTTGTCACATTTTCTTATTCTTTTTCTGTCTGTTAGCCTGAATAACTTCACTAATTATATCTATTATTATTATCTCTTTTTTCTTGACGACGATACCGGAGGACTAACTGGTGAAAGGATCAACTCCATTCACAGTAGTAACAGTCTTAACACACCTCATACTACAAACCACATATAATTAATCCCAGCACTACTCCTTTTGGAGTCAACCAAAGCTACGACAGTCGAGTGGCGGGACGAGTTACGCAGAAGTTTACCGAAGATCAGGAACCTATACCTCACAATCAAGAGGCGAGCACAAAGAAATCAAATTAGTTTATACTAGCTCGTAAAAACGATATTGGATATTGGAAAGAAGTGTGACGAAATTCATGCATCTAAAATCACAATCACTTACCACCATCCTTAAGACAATGATTGTATAACAAACTCGTCAAGTATCTGTAAAAGATGAAATAATTATGTTAAATCAATCTAGTTTGATACGGGATACTCGACACTACACACTGGTCAAAATAAATTAATAACAGATTGTCATTTATTTTTCTTTGGACCTGAGATATCTGGGTTAAAACGTCGGCAGTTTTCCGAACGAAATTAGGCAAAGTTGGAAAAAGTGAGCTGTTTCCGGAATCAACATGGGTAGTGTTCGTTGAAAAATGAGTAAACTGGGACAATAAAATTTTTTGGGACATGGCAAACGGGGAAAAAGTGGACAATGTGGGTAAAGTGAGTTAATTATGTAGCATTTCAACCCCTTTTGCTCACGTCTTTGCCCATCAAAATGACCCATTTAGCCCACGTTTTGTCCGCATTACCCAGGTGCATTCTCTCACTGGGAGGTATCACGCCTTTAGCTTTTAGAACTATAGTGCCATATATGGCAGTCTTCTGATTCATTCACCAAGTAAAAAACAAATTCTAGTTATGCGGACTTCTGAAAGCCCACAAACTCGCAGCCTTTCTCTCACTAGCATGCCATCATCATATATTTATGTTGTCTCCACCACTGAGGATAGCGGCACAAACGTCTTACGGGGAAGCCGAGCACTTGAAGGTCACTTATGCACGCTGTGATTGGTACATATTATTAAAACAATTAGTCCCTTTGATAAATTTGAATAAGGCATTTAGAAGACAAATTTCGCGAGATGATATCATTTCGTAGTTTCTTTACAACCGCTTTACAACTAACATGGTTAACAACAGTAAAATAAAGTTCATGACAATTACTCAGTTAAATAAAAACAAAAGTACATACTAATGACCAATCATATTTAAATAGGTCAAGTAGTCAAGTAGACTCTACTTCAAACTGTATCGGAAGACCTAGAGCACAGTCAATAAGATTTTTCTTTTTCTAGGTGAAAAGTGTATCAATGATCTGTATCAGATTTCAGATTTATCGTTTTCGAGGATAGAATGCATGGAGCCTATGTTAATCCTTTTCTGGTAAATTTCTGTGATTGTCTAAACCCTTCTTGAATAAATTAGTTGAGGTCATGGACACCAATTCTTCTGGGAGTCGGTTCCAGGAGTTTATGACAAGGTGTAGGAAGCAGTACGCAACAGCAATATGATTTCTTCTTGGCTTTTGAACTCTTCTGCTATGTCCTCTAGGCTGTTCCGACCTGGTGGGAAGGAAAACAGAGAATAGGTCAGGTCCGTAGTCTTATTGATATAGAAATTGGGCACTGTTGTAGAGTATGACTCCATTATAGATAAGATTTTATTTTGATAAATGTCACTGTTACACAGTAATATTAACTGATGACGCTCCAAACACAAACTATTGTTCATATGATTATGAGAAATCGTTTGTCATCATCAGTCAGGCTATCAGTTAACACTACTGTGTAACAGTGACATTTATCAAAATAAGATCTTACCTATAATGCAGGTCCGCAGTCATTATTTATAGATTAAAACCCTGTGATTAAATCTCCGCTCTAACTACGGTATCACACGGAGGAGAGATTAAACTATCCAGTCTTTCTTCGTATGATAAGTTACTCATACCAAGAACCATACGTGTTGCCTTCCTTTGAACCCTCTCTGGAATATGTGCGTCCACTTTAAGACAAGGACTGGCTGCCTAGATTCAGTTTTCTAATCTTGACCGCACCAGAGATGTGCTTAAGGAGGTAAACATATCTCTGGTGATCCTAGTAAAGGCTCTGAGAATTGCCTATAAGGATCTGAAACTACATGCAGCCACGGCGCGATAATGTGGCGCAGTTTTTGAATCGTGATTAACTATGGCACCTAAATCCAAATGAGACTCTACTTATGGCAGTGTTATTCCCTCTAGTTCGTAGGAGCTGAAACTTGCTTGTCCGATGAGCATGGTTGCACATTTTGCTACATTGATCGGGATCATCCATTCTCTTGAAAACACTGACAATTTGTAAAGACTTACGAATCTCTCGGTTTATCC